AGGACTCTGCTGTTGGGTTGAGTCAATTCGATACTCTGAGGGTCTGCAGCTGATTCAATTCTAGCCTGCTCGGGATTTTGGCTTTCACATACGTTGCAGTGTGTTTGTGTGTTTGGTGATGTGTGGTGTTGATGTTGTGTGTGTGTGTGTGTGTTTGTCCTTTGTGTGCAGCAGATCGTCAGTATGAGAAGATGTGGAGGCTTTATTGGAATTGGGGGGTTGGGAAGGTGCTGCTGGTATGATTTTATCCTCTTTTAAAGACAGAGAGAGACAGGGGAGAGGAGAGGAGAGGAGAGGGGGAAGGGGGAAGGATGGTGGTATAGAGAGGTTGGACCGGGGGTGGAAGGCCGGTTGGATGGCTTGCAGAGGTGGAGGTGGGGAGAGGGGGCGGTGGAGAGATGCAGCAGTTTGCACTGGAGAGCAGACTGGAAGGGTGTGTGTTCCTGTGTGTGTTGGGGGAGGAGGGACTCTGTCAAAGCCGATGGGGGTATATATTATGTTTTATGGTTACGAGGGGACGCATAAATCACGGTTTCATTAAACGGCTTCAGTCTCCAAGCGCTGCAACCCCCCACCACCCCTTCGCAGCGGGACATCCCTCTTTTCTCTCCCTCCATCCTTTCTTACTTTGTCCTCCATCTTCCTCCACGGTCTCCAATCCTCCTCCATCACTCCATCTACCTCTCCTCTTCCCACCCCCACTGTCTCCCTTTCTCTCTCTCACTCTCTTCTCCATCTCCATGAGCTGCCATCACCCATCGATTCGACCCGGAGGACGCGAGACAGCCGTGACACAATGAGGTCAAAGGTCAGAGCAACAACAACAAGAAAAACCAGAGCCAGTGTCAAGGTTGGAGGGGAAAGAAAAGAACAGAAAAAAGGAGAAAAGAACAGAAAAAAGGGGAAAACAATGAAGGAGAAACAGCTCTTTATTTAAATAAATAGGAAAAAGAAGCACTACTTGTCTCCTCTCAGGTGAGACAACATGAACCGAAACACTATCTGATATTTTTTTTTCTTTTTCTTTTGTAGAATTCCCATCGATGATACAAGGCTGGTTTGGAAACATTTTTTTTGGCAACTGAAAACAAAGATTTCTCTACAGTCTACAGATGATACAGTGACAACATCCTCTTCAACATATAAAAATACTATGACAAAATCAAATGCATTGTAAACTTATAATATATATTACAATCTGTTAGGCTGTTACTGTGTGTAGATGTATTGCAGTTATAATAATAATAATAAAAGCTACATTAGTTGGAATGATTTATGACACAACTCAACTTTAATGGAAAATTTGATCAAAAGGCTAAAAAACAAAAAACAAATAAAAACATGTTAAAAATTAATATTACTCACTTTTATTTTAGTTTCACATCCATATAAATAACATGTCATCATATATAAAAGCTACATTTTCTGTGTGGCATTTCCATGATGCGTTCACTGGCTCTTCTGACAAATCGGAAAGGAAGCGTTTGATCCAAACAAACACACTGCATTGTCGTATAATGAAGCTCATTATCAGGGACAGCGTCTTGTTGTTGGACGTGTCTTACAGTGACACACACAACACTGCACTCCTATACTTGTGAGGACCCAGATTCACATAATCCATTCCCTAACCCCTAAGCCCTAACCACCACAGCTCCATGGCTGTCCCTACCTTTTCCTGGGGCTGTTACTTTAAATTATTTGATGTTTAAGTTAGGTTTAATACATTTCTATTGACACATCACAGTGAAGAATATAACCATGTTGTACAAAACTGTATTTTTTAATTTATATTTGATATCAATAATGGATCAAATGATGAAATGAAAGCTGCCGCTTGCAGTGACCCACAGCTAAGTTTCCTCTCATGGAGCACTTTAGCACCTTCCAGCTCATTGTTTTGGTTATCACCAGTGTTGTTTCCAGACTCAGTTAACAATGAGCTGGTGCAGCATTTAGCAGCTGAAAAGCCAGATATTTCCCTCAGGAGTGGGTGGAGACCAAACCAGAGGAAAAGAGAGTGAATATTGAACTTTCACTTGCTAAGTGGCCAGAAATACGACTCCAAAGGAAGACTATTATTGCTGGATGTTCGAATACGCAACTGTTTGCTAACACTTTACATATAAAGTGACAATATGTCAGTGTTGTCTTAACAGCTTATTGTGCTGCCCTCAAGTGCAAGTAACCTGGTGCTAGACTCATTTTGATCAGGACCATGAAAGATTTCGGTAAGCTCTAACCCTAACTCTAAAATCAAGTTTAAACACTAAAACAGACCTTCAAGGAAGTGAGAAACGGACAAAATATCTTCATACATAGGTCTATAAAAACTGGCCCTCACAAACATAGAAGTACAACACATACACACACACACACACACACACACACACACACTCCCAGCCTGCCCCCTACTAGTCTAAACTGGGAAAACGGGCGTCTGGCGAGCAGCGATGGGAACTGGTCATGACCCCTCTGCTGTCCCCCGTGAACTCCGTCACCTTTGACCTATAGGCTGCGTATAGTGAGGCGATGACCCTTTTATTTACATTCGGATTATGCCTTAAACTCAGTGACCTGGAATTATTCTACAATTCAAAGATTCCTACTGTAAGCACACGTTTAATTTATAATCAAAATGTTTTTAAATTTAACATGGAAACAAAGCAAACTTATTCTCTAAATTAAATTTGAAAAAAATATTCTGATTTATGCTGCTGTGCTGGATATCCTTCTAGTAAACTCAAGCTCAAGAATACATATGACTGATGCTGAGATCAGAGAGTGACATTTACTCTTTTAAAACGAAGTCCCTACCAGTTAAAGCCTGTATTCACTCTACTGTACTTTGGGTTGTCACTGATATTATCTATAGCTTCCAGTTGCTTTGAGGAGAATAATTATTCCTTTCTGTCGTGTCTGTTATGAAGGGAGTGTGGATGTGTTGTAAGAGACCGTTGAAACTGTATGTTAGAAATACCTCTAATTAGCATTATTTGGTGCCCACAGCTCATTCTGTGTTTCAGAGTTTATGTTCATTTCACAAAATTTTGTGAAGCTGATGACGGGTCGAGGATTTCACCTTCAGCACATAAAGATGGCTGCACCTGTTTAACTGTGTAAACCTCGCACCTGTCACTGCTGAACTACTTCTAAAGGACCAGGGTGTAGGATGTAGTGGCATCTAGGGGTGAAGTTGCAGATCGCAACCAACTGAATACTGCTCGCCTTACAAGCGTGAAGGAGAAACATGCACACTTGGCTCGAAAGGCCCTATGTACAGCCCGTCCGTCCGTTCTGGGTTACTGTAGAAACATGGCGGGTCAATGTGGCGGGGTCCATACAAGAGGACCTGCTCCCTCTGTCTTGAAGAATTAACTTGGCTTCACAACATACGAATACAGAACACATTTACACACACACACACACACAACACACACACATCCCAGCGCTGCCCCTGGGCAACATATAGTTAGCTAAGAGGTGGGAAAAAGGCGTCTGCGCGAGCAGACGGATGGGAACTGGAGTCGATTGATCCTCTTGCTGCCCCGTTTGAAATTGGGCCGTCATACTTTGAGACCTATAGGCATTGGCGTATTAGTGTGAGGCGATGAACCCTTTTGTTTCTTACATGTTTCCCCACCTATTTTGCTTAACAGCTCTCCCGTCACCACAACAGTGACCTGAGACATTTAGTTTTCGCATCACAGATTCAAATACAAATATGCACAGTATTACATTGTCAAGCACAGCACGACCGTTTACATTATATCAAACAATGTTATTTAATTATAACAATTGGGAAATAACAAAGCAAACAACGCTCTTCAATTCGTCATAACATAAAAATGATGTGGTGAAATAGAAGTATCTGGATTTTGACTGACTGCGTTGTGTCTTGGTATCCTTTCTCTGACGCACTCACAATAACCCTCAAATGCAAATACATACCTGCAAACTTGATGAACCCGTAACTCCAGAGAGTACATTCGTACCTCTTTTAAAACAAGTCCCTCAACCTTAAACCCGCGCTATGGTGCACTCTCCACCTCTTGTCAGGTACTATTTGCGTTTCACTGCCGATCATTATCTATAGCTTCAGTTGCTTTGAGGAGAATAATTAAGTTCTTGTCTGGTGTGTCCTGTTCTATGAAAGGAGTGGTGGATGTGGTTGTAGAACGGTTGAAGACTGTATGATTAGATAATAAACCTCGTAATTTACATTATCTTGTGCACAGCTCATTCTGCTGTTTCAGATATTATGTTCATTTCACCAAAATTTTGTGAAGCTGAATGCACGGGGTCGAAGGATTTCACCATTTACAGCCATAAAGGATGGCTGCACCTGTTTTAATCGTGTGTAACCTCGCACCTGTCACTGCTGAACTACTTTCTAAAGGACTGGTCTAGGATGTATGTGCATCTAGGGTGAATTGCAGATCGCAAAACAACTGAATACTGCTCGCCTACAAGCGTTGAAGGAGAAAACATGGCACACTGTGGCTCGAAAGGCCCTATGTACAAGCCGTCCGTCCGTTCTGGTTACTGTAAAACAGGCGGGTAAATGTGGCAGGGTCCATACAAGAGGACCTGCTCCCTCTGTAGATAAAAACGTCTCAATTGTAAGGTAACAAAAACATAATGATTCTACCTGA